ACATTTTACACACTGTAAGAGAGCGTGCGAAGAAAACACTCACCAGAGACACACAACCTGCCCCACACTGAGATCCACTAACCCTAAGGAGCAAAACACCGCCACAGATTTGCACAACATCACACACAATGTCTGCTTCACTCTTTTTGCAAAGCATTACACACGGTGATTTGTAAAACTCTACACACATTTCCACACCTCAGACACTGATAAGGATTGTAAGGTTACTTACTTGTCATTACAAAGCCCCGGATTGCCATCAGCCACGCTAATAAATGAATTGGATAAACACATCCACAAGGTGTGGAAGTGTAACCCCGCCGGTCCTACGCCCTCAAACCCGCTCCGAGCTGGTATCGAACCAGCAATCTTCCGCATGGGAGTTGGTTGCTCTACCAAGGAGGTTAAAGACCATGGCCTCTAGTGTCTGTCGCTAGAGCACCTTTAGAGGTCAGAGGAGTGAGGTTTACCTGCACAGCGAACACTAGCTGGCCTCCGTTACATGTGCATTTCATGCCACAACCAGTTTATCCAGCTAGCTCGTCGTGTACGTCGGCGGACTACAGACGCAGAGAGGAGTTAAAATTGGTTGGGTTTAGGGAAGGAAGAGGGTGGGTCAGTCGATTGGCTGGTCGCCCAGTCAATCATTCAGACGTTCAGTCGGTCGACAGCGGCCTCTGGTAGGTTTACGCAAGAACCGCGTGGGCGCGAACAGCACTCGCGAGCACTGGTATCTGGATGCAGCCTTTATGGTGCAAGCTGAGATTGCATCACTCAGCGATGCAATGTCAGACACAATGCACTCAAATGGAGCGAGTGACGTCACTGTGACGGGTGGGGTTAGGGGTGGGGCTAGGTGAGCCCATTAAAAAGCATTGGATGCAGCTCAGATTGCACTGTACCAGGGGCCTCATGTATCAACGCTGCGTACGCACAAAAACTTTGCGTACGCCAGGTTTCACGCTCAGAATCGCTCACGTTTGGATTTACTAACCATGAACTGAACGTGGGAATGTGCGCAGCTTCACAGCAGCTTTCTGGCTGGCGTACGCAAATTTTTTGTGTGTGTCTGTTTTATTTCCATTGGCGACTCCTAGAGGCAGTTGTGTTAAATTCCTCTCTACAAAGTGTCTGAGCCTTGCAATGGCAGCTGTATGAGACGGGTTCATCTAGCAGGTATATAAGGTTTCCATACCATACAGTTGAGCAGCTAAACATTAAAGCACAATTTGCAGCGGTCGCCTGTTTTCCCAATGTAATCTGAGCGATCTACTGCACGCACATTGCTATAAAGACACTATCTGAAGATGAATTTGCATGCGTGAATCAGAAACATTTCCATTCAATAAATGTGCAAATAAAATATGATGCTTATTGATATGAACTTATTGATGATTCCTACTTGTCTTTCTCGTAATAAATAGTGGGCAAAATCTGATATGTAGCGGGGGAAAAAACAAGAAAGAGTTCATCAGACGCTGGATTCAAGCCGAGTTCAAGCTCGAACGTGTCATTTTATGATCACATGCGTCTAACGAGGTGCGCCACTGACACTGTTAAGCGTCCTGCAACATTTTACAGATATAAACCACACTATTTCTTTTTTTAATGCACTCAGTGCGATGTTCAGACCCAACTGTGTTAACCGCATCAGCTAAACTCTCCCACTCTATTTTTTTTCTTTTGTTGTTAATTCCGGAGAACAAACTTGCAAATAACACCGCTTTTCTCCGGTCTACCTCCGAAAGCAGCACCTCCATTTCACATTCTGTTCAAAGTTTCTCTTCTTGCTTGATTTTGCCGTTGCTTTTTCGTTGGGTTTTGCCATTAGCATAGTCATTAGCATATTCATATGGGGGAGGAGGCAGGGAGGGGTTTTGTGCTCGTGCATGTTGCGCTCAGTTTCACGTTCATTCGGATGTACAAAAGAATATGCGTGAGATTCGGCGTACGCAGTGTTTCATACATCTGAATTTTTTTATGCGTACGCACATTTACAGCTTTGTGCGTACGCAATGTTTTAGTAAGATTTCCACGCAAGTCTTCGTACATGAGGCCCCAGATCTGCATCCAGACCCCTCACCTCGCGAGAGACATTTTAGATGCGAAAAAGTGCAAACAGCGGCCTCTCGCTGATTCGCGAAAACAAAAACTGCAGAAATACATACCTCCCAGGACTCGCAGTCTCCACAAATGTCCAGGGGACTATGCTTTCAGAGCCTGGAGTGGATGAATTGTTCACCACCAAACTAGCAACGTGAGCTAACAAAACCAACATGATTAGATTAGATTACACATTTCATGTGTACTTTAATGAATCTTCACTTCAGTGTTCACCTTCAGTGTCCTTTAATCACAGCAAGCCTGGCAGAAACGCAGACTAGCTGACAAACCGCTATAGCGGTCTCATTCTTAGCTGACTGCTCACTTCAAGAGGACACTTTCTGCCAGAACCGCGCTTTCTGTAACCTTGTGCAAAACACACACCGGCTGCAGCAGCGCCTGTGAACACCGCGCTATTTTTAGCATCACTGTGTGTGTGTGTGTGTGTGTGTGTGTGAGGGAACAACAGGACGCATTACTGTGAGATATACAGGTCTGCGTGTACTACATCCTCCTCTATATCTGTGTGCATGTACTGCACGGCCTTGATTTAACAATGCCATTGACCCAGCGTGACCCAGTTTTCCACAATAATCCATCATGATCTGATATGAACTCTCACACTGCCAAACATGCTTTACTAACTTAAACTTACTTACTTAACTTGATCTTACTTAATTCAATTCAGCTTTATTTGTGTAGCGCTTTTACAATGTCGATTGTGTCAAAGCAGCTTCACATAAATGGTCATAGTAACTGGGTCAGGGTAGTTCAGTTTTTAGTGTTTAAGTTCAGTTCAGTTTAGCTCAGTTCAGTGTGGTTTGAAGTCATTACTGAGAGTCCAAACACTGAAGAGCAAATTCATCGATGCGTAGCTCAACCGATCTCACTAAACTGATTCTTTTTAGTCTCTGTTGTAGTCCAAATGTCTAAAAATGTTTGAACGAAGAAGCATTTTCTAGATGAGTAAATGATATTGTCTAGTTTTAGGGAATAACGGGTCAATGTTGAGTGAGTATTTCATTAAAACAGGCAAAATATACTGCCAGTGGTCTAAGTGAGGTAACATGGTGGATCAGTGGTTATAACTGTGGCCTCACAGCAAGAAAGTCACTGGTTCGAGTCCCGGCTGGATTAGTTGGTGTTTCTGTGTGGAGTTTATTGTTATATTCACAGTGTTTTATGACAACAGAAATTATTTGTACCTAAGCCTTAAAATGCTAAAAATTAAAAATTTTATGGAATATTTAGAGATTTCTTGCATGATTACATAAATTAATCTGTATATTTAAATTAATAACCTGCATAATTACAGTAATTATCCTTATAATCACATTAACAATCTGTATATTTACATTAATAACCTGCATAATTACATCAATTATCCTTATAATCACATTAATAATCTGTATGTTTACATTAATAACCTGTATAATTACAGTAATTATCCTTATAATCACATTAACAATCTGTATATTTACATTAATAACCTGCATAATTACAGTAATTTTCCTTATAATCACATTAATATTCTGTATATTTACATTAATAACCTGCATAATTACAGTAATGATCCTTATAATCACATTAACAATCTGTATGTTTACATTAACAACCTGCATAATTACAGTAATTTTCCTTATAATCACATTAATAATCTGTATGTTTACATTAACAACCTGCATAATTACAGTAAATATCCTTATAATCACATTAATAATCTGCATATTTACATTAATAACGTGCATAATTACAGTAATTATCCTTAATCACATTAACAATCTGTATATTTACATTAATAACCTGCATAATTACAGTAATTATCCTTATAATCACACTAATAATCTGTATATTTACATTAATAACCTGCATAATTACAGTAATTATCCTTAATCACATTAATTAATCTGTATATTTACATTTATAACCTGCATAATTACAGTAATTATCCTTATAATCACATTAATAATCTGCATATTTACATTAATAACCTGCATAATTACAGTAATTATCCTTAATCGCATTAATTAATCTGTATATTTACATATGCACAGGGCCGGTCCTAATGTTAACAGTCAATATCAGGGTTTTCATTACCCTGTGTAAATGCACTTTTTGAAGTATCGCATGAGAAACATAGGATCTTCAAATAAAAACACCATAACTCCCAAAAAATAGGTTATTGTGAATAATGCTTTATAATTGCAGAATAAAGCTTAATAAACTGGATCATTTCATCTGTGTGACTCTATTATGCTTGCCTTGTTTACTGTCGGTTGCTAGGTTACCAATACTACATTGAGCGGCTCTATAGACCTGTTCGACATATCCAGGAATACCTGGTTATACTTTTGGGCTTATTAAAAGCCTATGGGTGACGTCACAGATACTACGTCCATATCTTTCACAGTCTATGGTTTAACTCATACATTCCAAATCTTTAGTCAGTTTACATGGGAAATCCCCATTGGAAACACACGAGTCTACTATATACCATGGAGTTATTCTCACAAATTCCGAAGCGTTGGCCAGCGTAATTCTAGAGTCTCAGCGTGTGTCTCATTTCTAAAGCAGAGGAGCAGGGCGAGGCTGAGACGGCGGGATGTTTTCCAGGTGCAGAGCCAGAGCGTGATCCTCCAAAATACACTCTCTGGCCCTCGTGCTGCGGGACGCCTATATTTAGACTGTCGCACGATCACAATACTGGCCACATGTACACAACACAGCCACACATTCACACACACACACATAACGAGAGAGACATTGAGTCTGGGAGGTACACCGCATATCAATCCCAGCAGCCTGACAGACACTATCTGCAGTATTTTTAGCCTTTCGGGAATCATCATCTTAATCAAACACAAGTGCAAGGTGCAGAGCTGAGACACTAGATCTAAAGATGCAAAACTGGCATATTGCATAAAACATTTTAGTGTTTAGATTCAATGAGAAATAATAGAGAACAAAATCATCATGTATTGATAAACTGGAGCAAATATGAGTCAGAGAAGTGTAGTTTGATGCACTGTGATGTTTATTCTTCTCTAATAAATGAGCTGCGCCTTAGAAGATGAAGCTTAAGGTACGTGGTGATTGCGATGGCTTTTGGAGGCGTGAGACGGGAGCGCAGACTGATGCTCAAGACAGTTCTGGAGGGAATAATAATTGAAGAATAATAATACTGAAGCACTGTGATGATGGACTGACGAAGGGCTAAGGCCTTTTACAATCAGCAGAACAACATTATATGTATGTACACTAACCGGCCACTTTATTAGGTACACCTCTCCAACTACTCGTTAATGCAAATTTCTAATCAGCCAATCACATGGCAGCAGCTCAATGCATTTAGGCATGTAGACATGGTCAAGACGATCTGCTGCAGTTCAAAGCGAGCATCAGAATGCCGAAGAAAGAGGATTTAAGAGACTCTGAACGTGGCATGGTTGTTTGTGCCAAACGGGCTGCTCTGAGTATTTCAGAAACTGCTGATCTACGGGGATTTTCACGCACAACCATCTCTAGGGTTTACAGAGAATGCTCATACAAAGAGGAAATATCCAGTGAGCGGCAGTTCTGTGGGCGCAAATGCCTTGCTGATGCCAGAGGTCAGAGGAGAATGGCCAGACTGGTTCCAGCTGATAGAAAGGCAACAGTAACTCAAATAAGCACTCGTTACAACCGAGCTCTGCAGAAGAGCATCTCTGAACACACAACACGTCCAACCTTGAGGCGGATGGGCTACAGCAGCAGAAGAGCACACCGGGTGCCGCTCCTGAACAGGAAACTGAGGCTACAATTCACACAGACTCACCAAAACTGGACAATAGAAGATTGGAGAAACGTTGCTGCTCTGATGAGTCTCCATTTCTGCTGACACATTCGGATGGTCGGGTCAGAATTTGGCCTCAACAACATGAAAGCATGGATCATCCTGCCTTGTATCAGCGGTTCAGGCTGGTTGTGGTGGTGTAATGGTGTGGGGGAGATTTTCTTTGGGTCCATTAGTACCAATTGAGCATCAACGCCACAGCCTACCTGAGTATTGCTGCTGACCATGTCCATCCCTTTATGAGCACAGTGTCTCCATCTTCTGATGGCTACTTCCAGCAGGATAACGCAGCATGTCATAAAGCTCAACCATCTCAGACTGGTTTCTTGAACATGACGATGAGTTCACTGTACTCAAATGGCCTCCACAGTCAGCAGATCTCAATCCAATAGAGCAGCTTTGGGATGTGGTGGAACGGGAGATTGGCATCATGGATGTGCAGCCGACAAATCTGCAGCAACTGTGTGATGCTATCATGACAATATGGAGCAAAATCTCAGAGGAATTTATCCAGTAGCTTGTTAAATCTACACTACGAAGGATTAAGGCAGTTCTGAAGGCAAAAGGGGTCCATCCCGGAACTAGTAAGGTATATCTAATAAAGTGGTGCATGTGTGTGTGTGCCATGTTTGTGCATGTGCGCGTGTGTGTGTGTGTCAACCACACATAAACACATTCCACTCAGATGAATGTCTGGCTGTGCACTCTCTGACTGAAGGGTGTAGTTATGTTGTGTTTTGGTTACAGAACCTGCAATAATCATTCTGGCACTCAATACTACTCAGTATCAGGACAAAAACAAGGATGTGAGGTTATTTCCAGAGTAAAGCTGCAAAATCAAATCAATCACAGCACACCCTTGCTTCCAGTAACACAAAACAGAAGACCTGTGTTCCCATAAGTGCATGTTCACAGACACAAAACACATCAATAGTCTGGCATGTCATGAGTGTGTGTGTGTGTGTGTGTGTGTGTGTGTGTGTGTGTGCGTGAGTGTGTACAGACACAGTTGAATCCTGTAGAGCTCAGCAGAAATACTGATACTCACTTGTTTAGCGTGAGGTCTAGGATGAACTGTGATCCAAAGGCTTGAAGTTGAAATGAAGTCTGAGCGAGATGAGCCTCCTGTTAAAGGAAGAAACATCAGCCTGCGTTTATGTTGAGAATAAACCATAAAAATATATCTTCAAATCAGCATTTTTCAGTATTGTGTGATTCATGTTGTTTATTTCCGCATCTGCATTGCATTAGGGGATCTCGATCTTCAACTTTTAACCTTGAAAAGTTGGGAAAAGTGACTAGTTTGATAGTGTAACGGGATGTTTTGTTTGTGTTTGTGTTGTATATTACGCCATAACCACCTTGTAATAAACTGCAGCACATTTTCTGTTATTTCACAGACTTATTTCTCTGGGTCAGTTGGCGTTTCTGTGTGGAGTTTGCATGTTCTCCCCGTGTTAGCACGGGTGCTCCGGTTCCCCCACAGTTCAAACACATGCCCTATAGGGGGAATTGATGAACTAAAGTGGACGTAGTGTATGAGTGTGTGTTTGTGTGAATGAGTGTGCATGGGTTGCAGCTGGAAGGGCATCCGCTGTGTAGAAAATATGCTGGAATAGTTGGCGGTTCATTCTGCTGTGGCAACCCATGATTAATAAGGGACTACGCCAAAGGAATATAATGGAATAAATATAAACATTTAATGAATTAAATTTACAAAAATGTTATTATTTCAAGATATATGTCATAGTCAGGGTATAAAACGACTTTATTTGTGATATGAGATTTCTGTCGAATCACCCAACCCTGAGCAGACATCACGACGTGCGCTTGCATGCTGTCGGAAATCCTTGTTTATTTGATGCTATCATTACTCAAGTGATCACAACTGCTGCAATCACACACATGCATTACTATCACAACGATGATGATCATCATGAAGAAACAGGACTCAATACAGTAAACTGTGCTTTAGTTTGCTTCCATTCAGATAATAAACTGACAAAATCTATTTTATTTGTAATAAATGGGTCACACTTTACAATAAGGTTCATTAGTTAATGTTAATTAATGCATTTACCAACACGAACAAACAATAAACAACACATTTACTACTGTATTTGTTCATGTTAGTTAATGAAAATACAGTAGTTCATTGTTAGTTCATGTTAACTGATGGTGCATTAACTAATTTGAACAAGCACGGACTTGGATGTAAATAATGCATTAGTAAATGTTCAATTATGATTAATAAATGCTGTACATGTGTTGTTCATGATAAGTTCATGTTAGTAAATGCATTAACTAATGAACTTTATTGTAAAGTGTTAGCAGTATTTGAATGTGACAACCCTCATCACAACATGAACATGTGAAATCTTCTGCTCCCTGCTTCATCAAAAAATCTGAAAAGAACAGCTCAGCAACTTTGTTTTCAACCCGGGCTCATTGTCGAAACGCAGTCCCGCGGACGTTTCTGGAGACCGCGGAATACATCCCGGCAGGTACGTACGGCTGCAGTTTTCTGTTTTCGCGAATCCGCGAGAGGCCGCTGTTACGCGCTTTTTCGTACCTCAGACGCCTCTCGCGAGCGCGGTTCGCGTCCGTGCTGTTCTCGCGTGAACCCGCCAGAGGCCGCTGTCCGACTGACCGGATAATTGACTGCGCGACCGGCCCATCGGCCGTCTCGCCCTCCTCCTTCCCTGAACCCAACCAATTTTACCGATCGACCCGCCCGCCCGCTCACTTCCCTAAACCCGACCAACAATTCACAAAAGCCGTCCAAAAAAATAAAAGCCCTGAGTTTTTTTATTCCACCCCGTTTTCGGATCTCGCCGCGTTCTCACCCTGTCACGAAACTCGTTCACTTAATTTTTGGGATTCTGTTTTTGTCTTACCTGATTTCTGGAACCGCTCTTCCCCGGACTCGAAACCAGTCGCCGTGGTCGACCCCTCTCTGCATCTCGAGCCTGCCGACGTACACACTGAGCTGAGTGGACAAACGGGTTGCAGCGGGGAAGCCCTCCACAAGGAGGTAAGGCAAGCGCGAAAGGGAACAGCGTCACACCGCCCCGCAGCGTTCGCTTGGAAAAAACCAACGCGGCTGTGCGTATCTCCCGGGACGTATTCTGGTGTCTCCAAAAACTTCCGTGGGACTACGTTTTCAGAATGAGCTTGGGTTGTTTGTTTTGGGAAGACTTTTTAACAATCCAGGCTCATTACGGATACGTACCCAGGTCTACATTTCTGGTCACAGCGAAATACATAACCGCAGGTACGTCTGCTCACACTTTTTGTGTTTGCAAATCCACCAGAGGGCGCTGTGTATGCTTTTTGATGATCTCTCGCGCTTCCTCTTCTCGCACACTCATTCGATTTCCTTCGGCTTAGTATCTTATTTATCAGGGGTCTCCACAGGAGAATGAACCGCCAACTATTTCAGCATATGTTTTATGCATTGGATGCCCTTGCAGCTGCAACCTAGTACCAGGAAACACCCATACACAATCACATTCACACACGTACATACACTACAGCCAAATTTGTTGATCAGTTCCCCTATAGTGCATGTGTTTGGACTGTGGGGGAAACCGGATCACCAAACCCACGCCAACATGGGGAGGACATGCAAACTCCACACAGAAACACCATCTAACCCAGCTGAGACTCAAACCAGTGACCTTCTTGCTGTGAACCCACAGTGCTGACCACTGAGCCACCCTTGTTATGAGATGTGGACGGAAACGTCGCTAAAAGCTATGTGTTTTACTGAAGTGTATGAGTGTGTACATGGCTAACCTGTGCTCGCGGGTCAGTTGTTTTGGCGTGTGTGTTCAGATCATGGTATGTGCTCTCTGAGTTCTCGTGCAGGTAGTAGATAAGGCGCGAGGGGTACGAGAGTGTGTGTTGTGTGTCCTGCGGCCCACTGCTGTTCAGCTGCTGTCCGGATGCTGGATCATCATTCTGGAGCAGCTCTGACAACACACACACACACATATTAATAAACAAACACACACAAACACACCCACTAACACATGCTTGTGTGCACATTAACACACACTCACTGTATAAACGCATTAACACACGCATAATAATAATAGTATATGCACACTCAGACATACACACTAGTGTAAACACTAAAGCAAAACACACACACACACACACACTAACAGTATATGCACGCTAACACATACACACACACACACCTATTAAAAGTATATGCACAATAACACACAGTCACACAAATATGTGCACTAACACACATACACACACTATGCACACACTCATATGCACATGATCAAATACACAGACACACTTATTTACACACATGCACACTAAAAGTATATGCACACTAACACAGACAGAGAGGCATACACACTAATATAAACACTAAAACAAATCTCTCTCTCTCTCTCTCTCACACACACACACGCGCACACACACACACACACACACACACAAGGACATCTAAAATACACCTTAATACTAAAACAAACACACACTTATATACACATTAACACTTACACACACACACACACACACTAACAGTATATGCACATTAACGCATGCACATACATCGATTAACAGTATATGCACACACACTAATATGCACACTAACACACATACACACACTATGCACACACTCATATGCATATGCAGAGATAACACACACACACAAGGACATCAAAATACACCATAACACATAAACAAACACACACTAATATACACACACACACACACACCGATAGACACACACACACACACACACACACACACACAGTAATGACTGCCACTGAGCTGTACTGTATGCAGAGTACTGTACCTCCAGCACAGGCTTTATGCATTTCCACTATGATTAACGCCATTATACAGATAAGAGTGCTGTAAAGCGCTGCTCCTCGTCTTATCTAGTCTATTAATTCACACACTCCGACATTATTGTTCAGTGTATTGCCAAAAAGCAGGATCCTCGCACTATAATCCAGAAATAAAACCAGACTCTAATCAGAGAATACTGTAGTCAAATTAATTATTAGTCCAGAATAAACCAGTGTTACACAATGACCTGCCTAATTACCCTAACTTTACCCTAATTGTGAAGCCTTTACATGTCACTTTAAGCTGAACACTAGTGTCTTGAAGAATATCTAGTCTAATATTATGTGCTGTCATCATAGAAAGAGAAAAGGAATCAGTTATTAGAGATGTTAACAGTGTCCAGAAGCATTGTTGACTACTCTGGGCTCAGAGGCATCTGAGATGAGTCAGTATTTCAGGAATTTTTGGGGAGAAGTGGACGCTGTGTGCTCTGGACCAAAGTAGAAACGGATTATCCAGACTGTTACCAGCAACAACTCTAAAAGCCAGAGCCTGTCATGGTATGGGGCTGCGTCAGTGCTCTTAGCAAAGCTAACTTGCACTTCTGTGATGCACCAATGATGCTGAAAAGTACAGAGGTTTTGGCGCACATGCTGCCTTCTTGTCCAGGGACGCCCTGCATATTTCAACAAGACAATGCACAACTACATTCTGCAGAGTCCTGCTGCGGAGGAAGAGGATACAGATACTGGCCTGCCTGCAGTCCTGACCTGTCTCCAATAGAGAATCTGTGGCGCATTTTAAAAGTGCAAAATGTGATAATGAACACCCTATACTGTTGCCCACCGTAAGACTTGTTTGCAGGAAGAATGGGACAAAATGAAACGCTTCATCACTTGTTGTCTTCATTCCCTAAACGTCTGTTAAATGTTGCGAAAAGTAACGGCAACATTACAAAGTGCTAAATGCTTTACTGATACAACTCTTTCTGATTTGTGGTTTTATGTATTGGAATCTCTTCTGCTTTGTAGAATGAACTAGCCTGATCTCACCAGGAAACTTTAGTATTTTACGTTTCGTCAGTTTAGTAGCTAATTCGAGTTCAGTCGTACGAAAATATACGATTTTAAAAAGGAGGTGTGGCATCTAACCCCACCCCTAACCCCAAACGTCATTGGGTGATGAGCAAATCTAAATTGTACGAATTAGATTGTATGAATTCATACGAATTAGCCACTAAATCAAAACGTTGCGAATTGCCGTGAGATTGCATTGAATGAACAGGACAGACATGAGAGATTTCTAAAGTCAGTATAAAAGATTAAATATCCAACACATTCGGAACCTATAAATATTGCCTAGAGAAGCTGAATAACACCAGTCCTTTAATTATATATATAAATATATATATATATATATATATATATTATAATACAGCCTCTATAACTTCCTAAACAAAACAAAGGAAAGAGGTCCATGAACATCCGCAGTGCTGTCTGTGAGCTCAGGGCCCGTATCAAGTAGCATTAAAGCAGTGTGTGAGTGTGTGTGTGTGTGTGTGTGTGTGTGTGTGTGTGTGTGTGTGTGTGTGTGTGTGTGTGTTTGAGGACATTTGACTGGTGCTCACTGAATAAGGAACCAGAAGATGTTTTTATTAGTATAATGATCTGCATATGTAGGGTTGCGCCATAGACTGCATCAATAAACTGATAAAAAAAACTATGGAAGTCTATAATGTGACATAAGAAAACAAACGTGTGTGTGTGTGTGTGTGTGTGTGGTTGTGCATGTTTGAGTATACATAAATGTGTGATTGAATGTGTGTTTGTATGCATGAGTGTGTGTGTGTGTGTGTGAGTCTGCATGAGGGTGCATTTTTATGACTGTACATGTGTGTATGCATTTGTGTGTGTATGCATGAGTATGTGTGTGTAAGCGTGCGTGTGTGCGTGTATACATGCGAGTATGAGTATGTGTGCATCTATTTGTGTGTATGCATGCATGTATGTGTATGCTTGAGTGTGTGTGTGTGCATGCATCTGTGTGTGTATGCATGAGCGTGAGTGTTTGTATGCATGTGTCAGTGTGTGTGCGCATGAGTGTGTGTATGCATGTATGTGTTTGTATGCTTGAGTGTGTGTGTGTGTGTGTGCATGCATCTGTGTGTGTATGTATGAGCGTGTTTGTTTGTGTGTGTGTGTGCATAAGTGTGTGAATATGCATGAATGTGTGTGTGTGTGTGCATGTGTGTGAGCATGCATTTGTGCATGTCTATAACTGAGGGTGTGTGAATGTATGCAGGAGTATTTGTGTGTGTGGATGTGTGTGAGTGTGTGCATCCACTTGTGTGTATAAATGAATGCATGAGAATGTGCACGTATGCATGTGAGTGTATGTGTGCCTCCACTTTTGTGCATACGTGTGTGTGCATGACTGTGCATGTGCATGCGTGTCTATGCATTACTGTGTATGAGTGTGTATGCATGAGTGTGTGTGTGTGCATCCATTTGTGGAAGTGTGTATACAAATATGTATTGGTGTGTAGGCATGACTGTGTATGCACAAGTGTGTGTGTGTGTGTCTATGCATTAGTGTGTGTGTGTGTGTGCGTGCGCGTCTATCTTTCTCTCTCTCTCTCTCTCTCTCTCTCTCTCTCTCTGTGTGTGTGTGTGTGTGTGTGTGTGTGTGTGTGTCAGGACACTTTGCAGATGTCCTCCACATAATCTCGCACTGATGCCCTTCACACACACACACACAAACTCACCGAACAGAGAACATCCCAAACCGGACAGTCATTAAAGCACCACATACACACAGACACAGACACACACTCCCCCACCCTCCACTAACACGCGCACCGGACAAGTTCCGCGCAGAGTACCGGAGTGAAGGTGAAGTCCGTACCGGCAGCAGCAGCGGCGGCGGGCGGCAGGAGGCAGCAGATGAGGAGCAGCAGATCCGGAATCCCCGCCGCAGTCATGATGCAGAGCTGGAGTCTGCAGGAACAGCGACTTTAAGGCTCACAGATCATCATCGTTGTCCTTGGTGGTCCTGATGCTGCGGCGGGAAGGCGGTGTCCAGCCCGAGACCTCCGCGCGCGCTCCGGATGAGGAGGAGGAGGAGGATGATGATGCGTATACCGGCTGCTCCACTGCTGGGGCGACGCTCATTTACATAATATCATTATGCGTGTTACGTCGATATCAGAACACTACACTACTGCAACACTGGATTAATTACATCGAGATAGCAGCACTTATGAATACTGTTATGCAGACTGACTGTATATAGAGGCTTTGCTCTCATTACACCCTGCTCTCACGTGGTTTCTGCAGGTTCCACCAAGTTAAATTTAAGACATTTTTAAGACCAATATGAACCAGATTTTAGTCTCATATAGAGATAAACACTGAGTTTTTCTAAAGCCCCGAATGGAAAGTAGTTGAAAGCAGAAGTTTACACACACTATATAAAAAGGCACATTAAAAAGGTCAGATGTTAATGTGACTAAACTTTTCCTCTTTTAGGTAAGTCAGGATTATCACATGCGTTTCTGTTCTGCTTAATAGCAGAATAATGAGAGATATTTTAGAGAAATTATCATAACTTTTCTTAAAGGTCAAGTTTACACACAATAAGATTATTCAGCCTGATCTCACGAGAAAACGTAAGTATTTTACGTTTTGCCAGTTTAGTGGCTAATTCGTACGAATTCGTATGAGTTCAGTCATACAAAATTGTACGATTTTAAAAAGGGGTGTGGCACCTAACCCCACCCCCAACCCCAACCGTCAATGTGGGATGAGCAAACCGTGCTAAAATGTACGAATTAGATTGTATGAATTTGTACGAATTAGCCACTAAATATAAAAGTTTTGGATAATTCTGCCTCTGAAACAGCTCTGGTTTTGGACGTTTCTGATTGGCTAATTGACAACATTTAAGTTAAATAGAGGCACAACTGTAGAATAGTATTTAAGGAAAACCAACAATCGGTGCTTTTGAAAACACTGTGGGTTGGGTTTAGGGAAAGGGGTGGGCGAGTCTATCAAAAAGGAAGTGTGGCACGTAACCCAACTGACTACTTTATCTGATCCACCTTCACTCTGCTCATATGTCTCTTAGGTCTTGTTTGTGTAATTCCAGTTTGTTATATTTGACTTCATGTATGTTTGTTTATCTTTTTGTTGCATTCCTTGTAAAGTGTCCTTGAGCTCTGGAAAGGCGCTATATAAATAAAAAAATATTATTATTATTATTAATATTATTATTATTATCTGTGCTTTTGAAAACACTGTGGGTTGGGTTTAGGGAAAGGGGTGGGCGAGTCAATATGGGCTTTTGAAAACACTGTGGGTTGGGTTAAGGGAAGGTGGAGGGTGGGTCAGTCGATTGGTCGGTCAGTCAGTCAGGCGACAGCAGCCTCTGGTGGAATTACAAGAGAACAGCAGGCGTGAATGGCACTGACAAGATAAATTTGAGATCTCAAAAAGCCTCTGGTGGATTCAAGAAAAACAAAAACTGCAAAAAAAAGTTTTTTTTAACGTCCAGAAATGGATTTCAGGGTACATATCAATAATGAGCCTGGGTTGCATGTAAAATTAATATGATTGATTTGTTGTTGTTGCTTTTTTTATTGAAACATACAATCACCACAACTTTGCGACAACACTTCAATTCGTCATCGTCGTCATTATATGAAAGCCCAGTTGAAGTCAGAATTATTAGCCCCCCTGAATTATTAGACCGCTACTTTATTTTATCCCTAATTTCTGATTAACAGAGAGATTTCCTCAACACATTTCTGAACATAATAGTTTTAATAACTCATCTTCAATAATGGATTTATTTTCTCTTTGCCATGATGACAGCACATAATATTAGACTAGATATTCATCAAGACACTTCTATACAGCTTAAAGAGACTTTTAAAGGCTTCACTAGGGTAATTAGGTTAACTAGGCAGGTTAGGATAATTAGGCAAGTTATTCTATATCAATGGTTTGTTCTGTAGACTATCGAGAAAAAATATAGTTTAAAGGGGCTAATAATTTTGTCCCTAAAACGGTGTTTAAAAAATTACAAACTGCTTTTATCCTTGCAGAAATAAAACAAATAAGATGAAATAAAGAAAAAATTCAAAGGGGGCTGATCATTCTGACTCAACTGTATATTCATTTTAAGATTTATTTTTTTTAATTATTTAAAGATTAAAATGTTTGCAATTAGTTGATCATACACTTATTAAAACTGAAATGAAGAAGACAGTTTCTCATTTGTGAACTGAGGAATGCAAGTCATTTATTGGGAACGCACAGTCCCTAAAGTTACCACTGAAGTGCAGTCTAATAAATGAAAACCATGTGTTATACCAGCATGTCAGCTAGTTTCACTGGTACACTGACACATTTACTATAGTAATAATAAACGATTTACTGCTGAAAAGGGAATAGGAAGATCACATTTTCTTGATTTTAACTCATTATAAATACTTGTCTTTTTTATTTATTTATTTATTATTATTATTTATTTATTATATTTATCATCATGTGTATTTTTATCTATTTGATATTATTTTTGCCTTGTTGTACATATACAAATACTCGTATTTGTTTACAGTGGAACGCAATGGTTACAGGTTTTCAGCATTCTTCAGTATATCTTCTTTGTTTTTTGCTCTGCACAAGACGTTTGGCCAGCGGAGAAATGAAAATGATCGTGCCCAACTGAGTCTGGTTTCTCTCAAGGGGGTTGTTTCTTCACTTTCGCAAATTGGTAAAGGTTTTTTTCCCTATCCGCTGTTGTCACTATCTTGCATGGTTTGGGATCTGTTGAGCTGCGCATCGATGGATTTGCTCTTTAGTGTCTAGACCACAGGTGTCAAACTCAGTTCCTGGAGGGCCGCTGCGCTGCACAGTTTAGTTCCAACCCTAATTAAACACACCTGATCAAACTAATTGAGTCCTTCAGGCTTGTTTGAAACCTACAGGTAAGTGTGTTGGAGCAGGGTTGGAATTAAACTGTGCAGGGCTTCGGCCCTCCAGGAATTGAGTTTGACACCCCTGGTCTAGACCCTCAGTAGTGATTATTAAACCACACTGAACTGAGCTGAACTGAACATAAACACTAAAAAACTGAACTACACTGCTCCAATTTACTATGATATTTTATGTGAAGCTGCTTTGACACAATCTACATTGTAAAAGTGCTATACAAATAAAGCTGAGTTGAATTTTTTAACAGATGAATGAAACTCAGAAAGGTTTAAAACTACTTGAAGATGAGTAAACAATGACTGAATTTTTATTTTTAAGTGAACTATCCCAAATTAATTAGGTTATAATGCATAAATCATTCCAGCTTAGTATGTTATTGGGTTGTTTTTTTATCAGTCTGACCCAAACATAACATTCCAGGACATCCTGAGCAGACCCCATGGAGGATGCTGGAAGCAGATCCCGAATGATTTCTGTGTTTAAATGTCATTCACGGCCTTAAACTGTGACCCGTAATAACCAGCTCTTCCTTCCTCCTCTGGACGCCTGCCATGAACTCTTCATTTCCACAAAAAAATCCTGTTTGCTTTACGAGTGCACGCCACAGTCACTCGCAAACATGACACGGTTGATTTATTTATTGATATTGATGCAAAGATTCATGGTTGATCACATCCAAATTAAGAGTTTGTTTCAACATACAATAATATATGTGTGTATTATATATATTTATTATGTACAGCTGAGGTCAGAAGTTAATTTGAATTTCTGTTTTCTATTTTTGACAAACAGCCCATGCTGAAGTAAAGCTATACATCAACTGCAGCAGGGGGCAGTGGTTGCCCAAAATATACACCTAAATACTGATAAACATCACAGATTATAGCCATAATTACAGACGTGTGCTTGTCATTAGCGCTGGAGGAACTGTGAAAGATCCGACCGCTGTAACGTGAAATCGTCACTGAAATGTATGTTTTTTGTTCAAATAAAATATATAGAAAAATACCGAGACTTTTAATCGAAGCTGTAACAGGTAATATGTAAGTTAAAAACACTCACCTCTTTTCTCAAACAGACATTAGCACCACTGGGGTTTGTTAATTTTAGCGCCATTTTGCAGCTGTTTGAGACTTCCGGTGCCATTTGTTTTTATTTAAATTAGCCATTTGATTTTAAAGTGCTGTTTCTCGTGTTATTTTAAGCTATTGGGATAAACAGCAGGCTGAATAATCACATTTATAACTACTTTTAGCCTAGTTCTTTTACGTATTATTAATTTCAGAGAATTATTATATTAAAACCTTAAAATGTATTTCAACTATTGCTGAATTTTCACCTTAAAGTCATTTCAATCTGATCCCTCTTACATATATATGTACATTATGCTTTATTTATTTTGATAATTAATACTATTTTTTGCAACGCCAATATAGGCCTGTATATATATAGGCTCATATAGGCCTATATATATATATATATATATAATATATATTATATTAATAAAATTCAAACTGTTTATTATATTATTATTGTTGGACTATTTTATTTCTTATTTTTACTTTTGTATTGTTATTATATTTTTTTATCTCTACTTGTTATATTTTCTATTTATTGTAAACATTGCAATACATTACATAACATTTGTTGTCATGCCAATAAAGCAAGTTTGAATAGAATTTGAATTGAATTGAGTGTGTGTGTGTGTGTGTGTGTGTGTGTGTGTGTGTGTGTGTGTGTGTGTGTGTGTGTGTGTGTGTGTGTGTGTTTGTTTGTGTGTGTGTGTGTGTGTGTGTGTGTGTGAGAGAGAGAGAGAGAGAGAGACAGAGAGAGAGAGAGAGAGAGAGAGAGAGAGAGAGAGAGAGAGAGAGAGAGAGAGAGACAGAGAGAGAGAGAGAGAGACAGAGAGAGAGAGAGAGAGAGAGAGAGAGAGAGACGTGTGCAAAAGTCTCTTTTGTATAATCGTCTCCATCAGCAGTGCATATTGAACTCCGGGACGGCGTGAAAACCTCCGGCGATCAACACTTATAAATCAGCTGCAAACAAATGGAGGAAACATTTGTGTAAACATTCTGGGCTTGCGACTGACAGACAAGGTATGTTGTCGCTTTTATTACTCATATGGGTCCAATTAAAGTGTTTTCTCACTAATAAATAAACTATATTCAGATTGTGGAGCTTTAAATGTTAATTATATGCTGGTTTCAGCACGCATTATTTATAAGACTCGTTTAATTTACTTAGCAATAACGGACCATTTATAAAGAAGTTTTCTGCTTCTGAATTAAATGTTCTTAATCTCTTCTAGATTAGATTTCTGGATGTGTTGAGGCGTTTGCACGGATCTTGTATTGAATTAGGACGATCGGACGATATTGTGCTTTTTTAAGTTAGTTTGTTTAGGCTAATAGTACATGCCTCAGTGTTTATTTAAATTACATCTGATTTATTAATTAACATATTTTCAGTGTTTTCAGGGATATGACCTACAGATTAGCAGATTGTAAGTCAGACTATACAAAATATGTCTAATTTTGTTTTATTTGAGGCTATATGTAGGTACAAACACCTATTTTACGAGAAAAAAATTTCTTGTGAACACTTATGTATAGTCTATCTAATCTGTAGATCTGTCAGACAGCCGTGACGAATGGTATTTGTTTTCAATATTGATTGGCGCGATTATGGATTCACAATGGTATGACCCGTCATAGGTGTAATCAAATGTTGATTTATATTATCATTTTTTATTATAAATGTATCAGAGGGTATGGGTCAGTTGGCGTTTCTGTGTGGAGTTTGCATATTCTCCCCGTGTTGGCGTGGGTTTCCTCCGGTGCTCCGGTTTCCCCCACAGTCCAAACACATGCGCCATAGGTGAATTGAATAAAATAAACTAGCCGTAGTGTGAGTATGTATGAGTCCCAGTACTGGGTTGCAGCTGGGATAGCATCCGCTGTGTAAAACATATGCTGGATAATTTGGCGGTTCATTTCGCTGTGGCGACCCCTGATTAATAAAGGCACTAAGCTGCAGGAAAATGAATAAATGACATGAGAAATACAGATCAGAGAAAGCTATTTCTCACTATTAAAGGTCTGACCCCTAACCATATATCTTGTTTTGAAGTTCTTCAAGGGGGCATCAAGCGTTAATTACCCCTAAAGCCCCCTGTAATTCACACCCTGGTTAAAATTAGCCTAATTAAGACACTTAAAGGGATAGTTTAGACAAAAATGCTAATTATGTCATAATTTTCCCAGAGATGGGTTGCGGCTTGCTGGATAAGTTGGCGGTTCATTCCGCTGTGGCGACCCCGGATTAATAAAGGGACTAAGCCAACAAGAAAATGAATGAATGAATGTCATCATTTACTCACTCTTTACTTGCTTTAAACCTTTATGAGTTTCTTTTATTTCCGTAAGATATTTTAAAGACAGTTGGAAACGTGTAACCATTGACTTCCATAGTATTTTTTGTTTCTATAGAAGTCAATGGTTACCGGTTTTCAGCTTTCATCAAAATATTTTCTTTAGTATTCAACAGACGAAAGAGAAAACTTTATAAGCACTTGAAGGAGAGTAAATGAGGAGTAAATTTAGATTTGTGGGTGAACTATCCCTTTAAGCTTCTTCACCAGCGTTATCTTGGAAGCTATGAAAACATGATCTTATTGCTCAAGTGTTGATTAATTATGCATTAGTGTGGCATAATTACATTATAATTTCAGCTGTTGCTCAATGCACTGTGAGGTTTGCATGCAGGGGCGGCTCAGTCGCTTTAATTAAAGGGGCAGTTCACACAAAAATGAAAATGTGCACTCATTTACTCCCTCAAGTGCTTTTAAAACTTTATGAGTTACTTTATTTTTTAACACTAAATGAAGATATTTTAAGGGAGGATGAAAACATGTTAGCACTGACCACCATAGAATAGAAAAAAAACATAGTGTATATGTGTTTATTAGTGTGCATATAATATACATACATATTATTTGCACATGGGGATGCCGTTTGCTCTTAAAAAGGATTACAATATTACAATACATACTAGACAGGGTCTTTTTATAGGTAGGGCCGTTAAATAAACATTTTTATGAGTCAGTGGTTACATGTTTACAACATTCTTCAAAATATCTTAAAGAATAAAGAAGCTCATACATGTTTGAAACAATTAAGAGTAAATGATTTCATTTTTTGGTGTACTGTCCCTTTAAGAGCCGTTTTGTTTGAGCTGTATGATAATTACAGACGCGTTTGTGATCATATCACAGTTCCAGAAACAGAAAGATCATACATCTCTCATTTGGACCATAAAGTTTTCTGGAGACACACACGGAAAGATCCTGCACACACACACACACACACACAAACACACACACTGTTGAGCGAGAGGTTTGTGAGGTGGTGACAAGAGTTTGAATCATTAAACCTGTGTGACGGCTGGCAAATGTCTGACCACACAAACAAAACAACACACAGCAGGGAGTTTATGAAGGGACAAATTGTGTGTATGTGTAGCTATGTGTGTGTGTGTGTGTGTCCGTGTGTATATAGTGGATTAGGTCTTTATGGTATGTGTGTGTGTGTGTGTGTTTGTGTGTGTTTGTGTTAATGTGTATATATATGTGTGTAAGTATGTTTTATTGTGTGTGTGTGTGTGTGTGTGTGTGTGTGTGTGTGTGTCCGTGTGTATATAGTGGATTAGGTCTTTATGGTATGTGTGTGTGTGTGTGTGTTTGTGTGTGTTTGTGTTAATGTGTATATATATGTGTGTAAGTATGTTTTATTGTGTGTGTGTGTGTTAATACGTTTATATTTTATATGTATATGTATATATATGCTGGATAAGTTGGCGGTTCATTCTGCTGTGGCAATTATTAAAGGGATAAGCCAGTAAAACAATGAATGAATGACTTTTGGAATGTTTGGAACGTTTTGTGAAGCGCTATGAATACTTTCCGGATGCATTGTGAGTGTGTTTTATTGTGTTTGGGTTTGCCTCTATATAAGTGTGTTTTAGTGTGTGTGTGTGTGTGTGTGTGTCTCTATATAAGTGTGTTTAAGTTTGTGTGTGTATGTGTGCTTGAATGTATTTAAGTGTGTTTTAGTGTGTGTGTGTTTGTCTCTATATAAGTGCGTTTAAGTGTGAGTGTGTGTGTGAATGTATTTAAGTGTGTTTCAGTGTGTGTGTGTGTGTTTGTCTCTGTATACGTGTGTTTTAGTGTGTGTGTGTGAATGTATTTAAGTGTGTTTTAGTGTATGTGTGTGTGTGTGTGTGTTTGTCTCTATATAAGTATGTGTGTGTGTGTGTTTGTGTGTGTGTGTGTGTGTGTGAATGTATTTAAGTGTGTTTTGGTGTGTGTATGTGTGTGTGCGTGCGTGTGTGTGTGTGTGTGTGAATGTATTTAAGTGTGTTTTAGTGTATGTGTGTGTGTGTTTGTTTTAGTGTGTGTGTGTGTGTGTGTGTGTGTGTGTGTGTGTATGTGTGTGAATGTATTTAAGTGTGTTTTAGTGTGTGTGTGTGTGTGTGTGAATGTATTTAAGTGTGTTTTAGTGTGTGTGTGTGTGTGTGTGTGTGTGAATGTATTTAAGTGTGTTTTAGTGTGTGTGTATGTGAATGTATTTAAGTGTGTGTGTGTGTGTGTGTTTGTCTCTATATAAGTGTGTTTTAGTGTGTGTGAATGTATTTAAGTGTGTTTTAGTGTGTTTGTGTGTGTGTTTGTCTCTATTTAAGTGTGTTTTAGTGTGTGTGTGTGTGTGTGTGTGTGTTTGCGTGAGAATGTTTTTAAGTGTGTTTTAGTGCGTGTGTGTTTGTCGCTATTTAAGTGTTTTAGAGTGTGTGCGTGTGTGTGTTTGTTTTGATATAAGTGTTTTTAAGTGTGTGTGTGTGAATGTATTTAAGTGTGTTTTAGTGCGTGTGTGTGTTTGTCGCTATTTAGGTGTTTTAGTGTGTGTGTGTGTGTGTGTGTGTGTGTGTGTGAATGTATTTAAGTGTGTTTTAGTGTGTGTGTGTCCAGGCTCAGTCCATATGTCTTCACTTCTGTTTTTCATTCATCACATCTCTCTCTCTCTCTCTCTCCCTCTCTCTCTCTCTCTCTCCCTCTCTCTCTCTCTCTCTCTGTGACAAAAACAGGGAAACACCCAGCAGAGCTCTTTTTTTTTAGAGAAACCAGCACAGAAACTCTTCAGAGGAGCTGAAATCTGCGATCGGGACGCCGTCAGGTAATTCATTCACTAACTCTGCAATGTTTTTCAAAGAGTGTTTTGGATTGAGGAGCCAAAATAGTTGCAAAATCTGGGATTAATTTTGATTCCGGCCTACTCAGAGTAACAAAAATGATCAGTATGTACTAAATATAAAAGCAGAGCATGCCTTATCTGTGCATCCATTTAAACACAGACTTAATCTCTAAAGTATGATATAAAATAAGCTGATGTGCGAGAGTTGATGATGAATTTGACAAGATGTCTGACTGATGTATTTATGAGTTGTGTAATTATTATGTCATGCAGTCTTATGGATTTAAATATAAGTCAACATTTTCTTGGTTTACTCCCCTGTACAGTGTAAACACTGTGTGATGTTATATGAAAGCGTTCCTCTGTAATGAAAGCAGCATCTGTAACCCAGACTTACAGGAAAAGAAAACATGCCTCTACCATACTGTATGTACAAATCTGCAAAACTCATACACTACCTGACTAAAGTCTTGTTGCTTGTCCAGGTTTTATGAACAGCAAATACTAACTTGATTTCTAGTTGATGATTTGGTGTCAGAAGTGTCTAATATGAAAGGCAAAGGCCTCTAGATGACGCTTATTTAAGCACCATAAAATCTGATCATGCCTTGATGTTGACTGATGTCTGTAGGACAGTAAAGAGTTTTGTCAGCGTCTCACAGGATCGGGTCTCCAAGTCTTGTCAATAATCAAGCGCACGTTATTATTATCAGCTCAAGAAGTTTGTTATTTCAGATAGAGACGCGCGGCGAGCGCAAGGAAGAAAGCGAAACCGTTCGGGCTCCATGGTTTGTGGCTGTTTATCAAGACGACAGGGTTTGTTTGAGCCCGGATCGACCATGTCTGCATATGTTTATATAATTCCGCTGTAATCTCTCGCTGTGTATTTCAAACATGGCGGGTCCTTTGTTTACATTCTGGCTTGTTGCGCCAGCGAATGACGTATCTCTGTCAACCAATAGCGTTCAGCTGCTTGTCTAGCTCCGCCTTTTGGCACCCTTTCTCATGTTTAGGACCCTTTCGAAACGATGCCGAAAAAAGTGGTATGGTATGGTTTGGTTCGGGACGCCTTTTGACAATGGAAACGGCCATAAAAGCGTACCAAACCGAACCGTACTCAGTGGAAACGGGCCATAAGGGACCTAATCAGCTCTCCTAAATGATCAAATGGCACTCAAAATGCAAGCATTGTATATATTGCAAGTATATACATGTCTATGTAGGAGTGCATACAAATAAAAATCGCAGATTTGGTGCAGCTTCAAAAGTCTCTACATGATCTCAGCCCAGTTTTATAGGTCCTCCAAACATAATCTCGAGATCAGGGAACGTCTCGACTCACTGAACTGAAAGAAAGCGGCACAGATGATGTGTGCTGCAGAGCTGTTGTAAGGCAAGCATTCGTGGTTCGTTACCATCTGTTTACATGACTTTAGCAACTGTGGCACCTGTCGCCGTATGCTGCCAGAAACTACAGTGAAACACTTGTAAGGATGACAGATAAGAAGTTTGTTGCAACGCTCTAAATAAAATCCCTGAGTTCAATTACTGAAGGACTTTCACGCAAGCGGATACTGGTGTCGACTGTAAATGACGTCACTTCCAGAGTGCAAATCAGCCAGACTCTATTAAAGCCATGACCGAATATAATCATGCTCTGTTGATTGTTGCTGGTTTTCCCTGTTGGGAAGAGGATCCCACTCATGCTTTTTGTCTCCCTCCTGCAGGATGATGACCCAGGATGACATGGACTACGAGAACGACACAGTATACTTCGATGAAACTGGCTATGTGGTTGACAGCCGATCTGGGGGCTACACGCAGCGGGAGGCTTTCCACATCATATCGGTGATCATCTACAGTCTGGCCTTCACTTTGGGCATCATCGGGAACGGGACGGTCATCTGGGTCACCGGCTTCAAGATCAAACGCAGCATCAACAGCGTCTGGCTCCAGAATCTGGCCATCGCCGACTTCGTCTTCGTCCTCTTCCTTCCCTTCTCCATCGATTACGTCCTGCGGGATTTCCACTGGCTCTTCGGCAAGACCATGTGCAAGCTCAACTCCTTCGTGTGCACCATGAACATGTACGCCAGCATGCTCTTTCTCACGGTTTTGAGCCTAGATCGATATGTGTCTTTCGTGCATTTTAGCTGGTCACAAAAATATCGTAATGTTCGTCGCTCTTGGTGGCTTTGCGCTCTGATTTGGATTATATCCTGCATTTTCAGCTGTCCCGCGCTCGTGTTTCGGGATGTAATCCTTTACAATGGGAAGATCGTGTGCTTTAATCATTTTCACGACGAGGACAGGCATGTGATGAAGATGAGGCATATTGGGATAGTTTCGTTTCGCACTATTGTTGGATTTATTCTCCCGTTTGCTACTATAACAGTAAGTGGGGTCTTACTTGCGCTTAAAATGCGTCAGTCCAACTCGGTGAGATTATCTAGTTTCTCCAGAATGGTTTCAGCTGTAATTCTGGCTTTTTTTGTGTGCTGGGCGCCCTTTCATACCTTCAGTATAATGGAGTTGAGCGTGCACCACTCCACCGCACTAAACTCAGTGCTCACCATTGGTTTCCCACTGGCCACCAGTCTGGCTTTCTTCAATAGCTGTGTAAATCCCATCCTCTACGTGCTGCTTACTAAGAAAGTGCGTAAACTGGTGAAGAGTGCATGTCTGAAGTTCACCAAGAGCTCGCTGCGAGAGCTCAGTCAGTCTGCTTCTGCCACTGAACTGGACTCGGCTCTGGTCAACTGCGCTCCTGAAGAGCCCGCGGAGAACTCCACTGTCTGATGGACACCAACGCAACAGGATTTATAGGATGATTCTGGAGCTCAGAATGGACTGAATGAACATGAAAATCTGATTTTATTCCTTATACAGTAAAATGTGCACATTTTATATTTAGGTTTTTAATCAACGCAACAAGCTGCTCGTGTTTTAGATGATGCTTCTGGAGCTCTGATTGGACTGAAACAGATTTCAACATATGAAAATAAGATTTTATTCAACATGAAAATCTGATTTCATTCTTTTTAACAGTGCACTAGTCTTATATGTTGTACAATTTAGGTTTTTAACCCTCGTGTACTGTTCAAATTGACTACCTTTTCGTTATGTTGGGGGCTTTTTTTGCCCCATTGACTTCCATTCCAACCACATTTTTTAATGCACAACCATCACAACAGTAAAAATTCTAAATTGTAGCTCTTCCCGACAGCAAAACCCAACAGCAATCATGATTACATGCTGTAATGGTTTGCAATCAAAAAATGTGATTATAAAGGAAGTCAATGGGGCAAAAACAGCCCCCAACATCACCAAAGTGTAGTCGATTTGCCCAGAGTGTATTGTTGCCCAAAATATGTGTCAAAATAAGATTTATCACCTAAAAATCATCCAATTTGCTGAAACACAGAGAAAGTTGTGGCCAATTTAAGACTCAAAATCAGCCCAGAGTGGATGAAAATGACCCAACAGCACACAAGTGTTACCAACACAACTAAAATTGTTTTCGATGGCTTCTAGAGCTCAGATTGGACGGAGGGAACAAATTAAAAACATTATTATTCCTTACAGTCAATTTATAACAAATAACAGATTTTATATGTTGTAAAATATAAGTTTTTAATTAAAGCAACAAGCTGCTCGTGTTTTAGATGATGCTTCTGGAGCTCTGATTGGACTGTTGGCAGATTTCAACATATAAAAAAAAACAGATTCTTTATACAGTCAACTTGTGTTTAACAATTTACCCAATAATATGTTGTACAATTTAGGTTTTTAACCCTTGTGTGTTGTTCAAATTGACTCTAAAAAATGCTTTGACATTTTTCAATAACTCAACAATATACTCTGGGCAAATTGCCTATCCTTTGGTTATGTTGCTGCTGTTTTTGCCCCATTGAATTAAATTATAATCACATTTATTGACTGCGTAAAGCCATGACAGCATATAATCATGCATTCTTGATTGCTGCTGGGTGTTTTTTTGCACAGCAAATGAAAGATTGTACCCCCTCCCAACTGGGAAAACCAGCAGCAATCAAGAATTCGCAATTACAAGCTGTAATGGTTTGCAATTAAAAAATGTGATTATAATGGAAGTCAATGGGGCAAAAACAGCACCAACATAACCAAAGGATAGGCAATTTGCCCAGAGTATATTGTTGAGTTATTGAAAAATGTCAAAGTATTTTCCCTAAATATGTGTGAAAATAAGGTTTATAACCAAAAATCATCCCATTTGCTGAAACACAGAGAAAGTTGTGGCCATATTAAGACTTAAAATCTACCCAGATTGGATGAAAATGATCCAACAGCACACAAGGGTTAACCAACAAAACTAAAAGCTTGTGTTTTAGAAGATGCTTCTACAGCTCATATTGGACTCCTATGAAAATCAGATTGTATTCTTTTTAGTCAATTTGCATTTAATACTTCACCCACTTTATATGTTGTACAATATAGGTTTTTAACCCTTGTGTACTTTTCAAATTGACTCCCCTTTGGGTATGTTGCTGGCTGTTTTTGTCCTATTGACTTCCATTGTAACCACATTGTTTGATTGCAAAGCCATGACAGCATATAATCATGCATTCTTGATTGTTTTTTGTTTTGCACATCAACTGATGATCAACAGAAAAAATGAAAGATTTTACCTCTTTTCCTGAAGGAAAACCAGCAACAATCAAGAATGATTCGGTTTCATTGCTTTGCAATCAGGAAATGTGACTGTAGGGGAAGTCAATGGGGCAAAAACAGCCCCCAACATAACCAAAGGGGAGTAAATCTGCCCAGAGTGTATTGTTGAGTTTTTGAACTATTTCAAAGTATTTTCCCAAAATATGTGTCAAAATAAGATTTATCACTACAAATCTTCCCAATTGCTGAAACACAGAGAAAGTTGTGGCCAAAATAAGACTCAAAATCAGCCCATAAAAACGACCCAACAGCACACAAGAGCTAACCAACACAACAAACAGCTCGTGTTTAAGATGACGCTTTTAGAGGTCAGACTGGACCGAGAGAACATATAAAAATCAGATTGTATTCTTTATACCAGGGGTGCTCAATCCTGTTCCTGGAGAGCCACCTTCCTGCAGATTTCAGTTGCAACCCATATCAAACACACCTGAACCAATTAATTAGGACCTGAACACCACGTGATAATTACAGGCAGGTGTATTTGATATGGTTTGCAACTGAAATCTGCAGGAAGGAGGCTCTCCAGGAACAGGGTTGAGCACCCCTGCTTTATACAGTCAATTTATAACAATTAACAGATTTTATATGTTGTCCAATATACGTTTAATTAAAGCAACAAGCTGCTCGTGCTTCTGGAGCTTAGATTGAACTGTAGGCAGATTTCAACATATGAAAACCTGATTTTTATGCTCTATACAGCCAATTTGTATTTAATTCATTAATTTTATATGTTGTACAATATAGAATTAATTAAAGCAACAAGCTGCTTGTGTTTTAGATGATGCTTCTGGAGCTCAGATTGGACTGAAGGAAGATTTTGACAAAGTGAATAAGAAAAAAATAGGTTTTCTTCTTTTCAAGCTGCAAAAACATCATTCATTTTATATGATAGAGCAAAATGAAAGTAATGCGGGGTAAAGTACACTGCAAAAAATGCTTTTGTTACATATTGCTTCTAGTCCAAATATCTAAAAAGTCTTAAATCAAGAAGCATTTCCAACAACAAAAAAAGTGTTATATATTCAGAAATAATGAGTCAAAATGAAGCGAGTTTTTCTGTAATACAAGCAAAATAATCAGCCAATGTTTAAATCATTTCAAATGTTGCCGCCAGCGTCTTACATCCTCTTCAGTTGTCGAATGCTATTGGCTCTCTTTGTGTCTCGTAACTAATTGCATCATGCTAATATACTTCAGCTATTTTTTTTTTAATTAGAGGAAATTAGCAAGCCATTTTCAGCTTTTAGAGACTCATAAATCACTCCGTTCTTCATATAAAGACATCGTATGGCTTCACATGACTTGAAATTCAACCTGACGTGTTTGTATCGCTTTTATATGGTTGTTTTTGTCATAAATAAACGTGACTCCACTTTTATTTGCCTGCCGCTCATTTATGTTGTTCAGAAGTATGTTGGGGTTTGGTACAGGCCCACCAAGTAATAAACATCTAATAAACATCTAGCATGCTAAAACAAGGCTAAATTTGAGCTGTCAGTGAACATCTAATAGACGTCTAAGAATAGCCTATTATTAAATTAATCATCAATTAGATTAGACAGACTTCACATGTGTAGTTATTTATTCCTGTGTATTTGACTAGTCTAGATTTGGGCTATTGTTAGATGTTCACTGAGAGCCTAAATTCACTTGTTTCTACAGACTGCTTTTACCACACTCTAAAAAATATTGTTTAGACAAAACAAAACAAAATGTACGCAACAGTTTGCATTAATATATTGAAGTTACGACAAAATCTAACAAAATGAGGTTCAGACAACAAACTTTATTATGTTAGCCAAATATTTTCCTCTTCAATCAGAGGCATTTTTACATAGCAAACAAACTCAAAAATGTTGTTTCAACTAGTTTTTTTATTTTAAAATTGAAAACAAATCCAGTGTTGTTTTATGTACTTAATTACATGCACATTTTCAAGTTTAGAACCCCAAATAAATTAAGTAGCTAAACTTTTTGTTTGTTTTCAAATTCACTGTTCATGCTTGTAAGAAATACATTTAACAATTCATTGTTTTACAAAACAAAAACAGGTCCCACTTTATTTTAAGTGTCATCAAAAAATAAATACAATGTACTTACTGTGTTTATAATGTATTTGAGAACACTTGTGGTGCTCTTGAGTTGGGATAGAGGTTGGGTTATGGATAAGTTTGGTGGTGTGGGCAGGTTTAAGGGTGGGTTAAGGTGTAGGGAAAGGTCTGCAGTGTATTTACAAATGTAATTACAGAAGTTATTTACAGATGTAATTACATACAGGTATTTAATCAAGCATTAGTACACAATAAATACATGTATTTACACAATAAGAACATTGTAACAAACTATCAATTCTTGTGTAAGTACATATTAGTTAAGGCCACTTAATATAAAGTGGGACCCAAAAACATGTACTATAACTTATTATCAGTGTAAAAAATAACAAAAAACATTAGTGTGTGGACCTAAAAATACAAAACAACTCCATTAGTGTGAGTTATCAGCCTCATTTCTTTGGGTTGCTACAAGTTAAATATTGTTTTAAAGCAACTGACAGATGCATTTCACTTTAAATTACCTGCATTTTTAAATTGATGTAATTATCAAGATTTTCCTGTTTTGAAAACTTAATAAAATTATTCTGGCAACTTAAAAGTTTTAATATAATCAGCATTTTAAAATTTTTTAAGTTACAACAATGTATTAAACTATGTATTGGTAAAATACCTCTGGAGTTATTTTTTAGAGTGCAAGTCTGATTAGAACAAATTCATTCATGTTGACCATTAGAGACTAGATATATTCACACACCACTGACACACAACTGTTTTGCCAGTTTAGTGGCTAATTCGTACGAATTCGTACGAGTTCAGTCGTACGAAATGGTACGATTTTAAAAAGGAGGCGTGGCACCTGACCCCACCCCTAACCCCAACCGTCATTGGGGGATAAGCAAATCGTACTAAATTGTACGAATTAGATCGTACGAATTCATACGAATTAGCCACTAAATGAAAAAGTTACAAATTGCCGTGAGATTGTGTTGGGTTAAACCCCTTATCGAAGTGATTTCTGCATAATAGCTCTACTTTAAGCTCAGTTTAATTGTGTGGCTAACTTTTATTTAATTCTAAATATTTTGTACAGTAGTCATGTTATCATTAATGTTTTATTTTGCATGTAATCTGTGTTTTATTTCCAAACATCAGGCATCATAACTTGTTATTGTGTGTGGCATCTGATTCTCTGACACAAAACTCCATTATTATGGAGGAAAATGGGGCTATTGTACAGTGGTTTGGCAGAAATTACATTAGTCATTAATGAAAACTGGCATCAGTTCCTCTGGAAGCAACAGCTCTTTGTTCTCTCGAGCACATGGGATAGAAAAACACCTATGCAATATTTTAAGTTATGTTCACAACTGTAATGAAAAAAGAGCTGTTTAGTTTAATAACTTCCACACAGGACACAGATGTTTATTGGGCTTCCCTCAGTTTGTTTCTTCGGTCTCACACAACCATTCAGCGTTCGCCAAAATTAAAGACGAAGAAGGAAACCGAGCCAACACTCAAGGCCAAGAAATGAGGACAGAAGAAACACAGTGTGCTTACCAATGAGCTAAACCATTAATCCAACAACTACCAAGGAAGAAAATGCACTAGGCACAAACATGCACAAGACGGAAGAGAGTCTGCCTCAATATTACACAAATAAAACAAGAGTAGAGGAGGCTTACAGCTCAAGACTGTGTGGAGAGCAGCTTGTGTCAGCCCTGGTAGCAAAGAATTCTGGCCCAGATTTGGCATAAAGCTGGCACAGCAGGCATTCATCCGGCACTGGCATACAGCATGTGGGCCAAACATGGCCCGGGTTTGGCAGAGGTGGCACCGTCTTTAAGGCGGCACACAAGATTTGGGCCAGATGAAAAACGTAGTATTTGGCCCAGATTTAAAAATTTGATAAGTGGGCCATGTGAGTTTGGCCAGTCTTGACCCACATTTAAAATACACTAAAATCATTTTTGAGTAAAGAAAAAAAATTCTACCAATCAGGTCACTTTGAGAAAAAGCGTGCCCATAGTGTGCCTAAAGCGCATCACTCCATGGGTTTATCAATTTCATTGCAATTGTGACACACCAACCTATCTGGCCCAGTTCAGGCCCAGTTATGAGTTATTAACTTGGCTGAGACTTGGCCCAGATATGGTCCGTGTTTGGCCCTTGTCTGGAAGCCAGATTTGGTCCAGTCATGTATCGTAATTCACTGCGGCATGTGGGCCAAGCAAAACCTGATTGTGTGGGCCAGAGCTGGGCCAGAGAAATTTTGCTATGTGGGAGTGTTTATACGTCACTGTAAACCAAGCTTCTGCTAACTATTAAATGTAGGTGTAAATTTGTCTCACATATGGTGAGAAGATCTACATCTGTGTACAATTTGCACCTTCTCGCCCCTCATGAAAGGGTGTGTGTGTGTGCATTTTAAATAAGTAGTTTAAACAAACAGCGTTATTTTCAAGTGCATGTGTACACGCGCACACACACACACATGCACTCAAAAGTAACGCTGTTTGTTTAAACTACTTATTAAAATGAGCTAAAACAACACAATTCTTAAAGCATTATAGTGTCGATATTATAGTATTGTAGACATTTTAATTAATATTACAATATAATGTTGTAAATAGTAAACTGATCAACTGTAATGAATACCATACTTTTGTTTTCACTGCAGTTATCTGTATATGTAGCCTGTTTGCAGAAAAGTACAGTATTGAGCCATTTGTTTTTATTAGTTGT